TATGGTAATTATAATCTGATTCAATAATTTATCCTAAACTAAACTAAAAATGCTGCCAACAAACCTAGAGATCAGCTGAGTTAGTTAAAACATGGTAAAACTCAAGAGTTTAAAGTTAAGCTTGGGGATTTTTAAAAAAAGAGCCAATTTCCAAAAAAAGTGGGATGTTCCTTTAAGAAGAATTTAAGTACAATTTTCAATGTAGTTTCAACATTTTGAAATAAGCTTTTAAAAATTTTACTGGCATGCATTTATTGTCAATTGAATACGGTCAAATAAATTCTATTGATGCTTGCATGCATGACGTTTTTAAATATATTTGTATTAACACATTTGCCATCATGAAAAAATATGGACAGGAATTATGCATTTGGTAATAAAATTACATTGTAAGTACATAAATTCCTTAATGCACCAAAATAAGTTTATTACAACAAATAAATACTTTATAAATAATAACTATATTAGAAATAAAATAATTAAAATAAATATTTTACAAGCTTTTTTTTCTGTTTTTGCTTTCCACCGTTTAAAAAATTAAATACATGTTAGGATACAAGTTCTTTTGCTTACTTTTCGAGCGAGGGACAGCAGTATCTCATCAGAGAACATCTTGAAATCAGTGTACCTCCCGAGTGACCGCCGATGCACCTGATTGTTTAAAATGGTGTAGTGAATGAGTCCTCCTCGCTTTGCAAAGCGTGTTGGAACCTCCTGCAGGAGCTGCTGCAGGTCAATAGATGGAAATGAACTGAAATCCTTTTGAATTTGTGGGTCTTCCTGTGGACACTGCATAACCCTCTGCCAGGCTGCCACATCAGACTCTGGACAGTCACAGTATTCATGATAAATGGGACCTGATCAAATTACAGAATAAAACAGTGTTGGCAGATTTTACATTTCATACTCAGTTTTTTATTGATATATTTTTTTTACATTTTTCATTGACAAAAAACGAATACAATTTTTTAAATGTACATAAAACTAATTTTGTAAAACAATTGAATATATTTGTGTCGTAGCCATTTTTTCAATGTACATTTTATTTAGTTAATTTTTTTTTTTTTTTTGGTGGGGGGGCGGGGGTGGTTAATATGAACATCATAAAAGTGTGGAAAATCAAACTGCGCAAAGCTGAAAGAAAGAAAGTGGGTTAGTATGACTTTGAGAAGTATGTTTTTTAGAAGTATGGTTAAAGGCTTTGATTTTGAATGCACTTAATGTATTGTTTGGTGATAGAATGTCGTTTTACAATGAATTTCATAAAATAAAAAAAAACTTTTACATAAACTAACTTCAAAAAAAATTGAAAATTGTTTGGTTAAACTCATGAGGAAAATAGTGTAGTGTACACTTCTGCATAATAAAAATTATGGAAATAATATACTTCAAAATATAAATATAACAAATACTAATAATAATGGTGTCAAGGTGGCGCAGTGGGTAGCACGATCTCCTCATAGCAAGAAGGTTGCTGGTTCGAGCCCTGGCTGGGCCAGTTGCCATTTCTCTGTGGAGTTTGCATGTTCTCCCGGTATTTACGTGGATTTCCTCCAGGAGCTCTGGTTTCCCCCACAGTCCAAAGACATCCGCTAAAGGTGAACTGAATAGGTAACTGAATAAAGCTGAATTGGCCATAGTGTATGTGTGTGAATGCAAGAGTAGATGGGTGTTTCCAAGTGTTATGTGGCTAGAAGATCATCCGCTGTGTCAAACATGAGCTGGATAAGTTGACGGTTCATTCCACTGTGGCGACCCTTTCTATTTGATAAAAGTTTGTTTTAAATTGAAAATAATTTGAAAAATGAAATTGTGAAACCCCAGAAAAAGTATATGATTATATTATAAAATACACTTCAAAAATATGCATGATATTCTAATATAGTGTTGTGTGCTTTTTTCAGTGTTTGAAATTTGAATGTGAACGTCATAGAAAATGAAATGTCAGTAGGTCGGAAGAACAGAAGTGGGTCAAACACAATTTTTTTTACTTTTAAAAGTATATTGTTTAGAAGTATGATTGCGGACTTTGTTTTTAAACATGTATAAAGTAATAATGTATATTTTGGTTGCAGAACATTGTTTCATAGTGAATTTCATTAAAGCTGTGGCGCAGTGGGTAGCACGTTCCCCCCACAGCAAGAAGATCGCTGGTTCATGCCCTGGCTGTGTCAGTTGCCATTTTTGTGTGGAGTTTGCATGTTCTCCCTGTGTTGGCGTGGGTTTCACATGTGGTATAAGCGAATTGGATAGGCTAAATTGTCCGTAGTGTATGTATGTGAATGAAAGTGTATGAATGTTTTTCCCAGTGATGGGTTGCAGATGGAAAAGGGGCATCCACAGCGTAAAAACATAGTCTGGATAAGTTGGCGGTTCATTCCGCTGTGGCGACCCCAGGTTAATGAGGGGAATAGGCCGAAAAGAAAATAAATGAATGTATGAATTTTAGATAATCTTAAAAGTTTGTTAAACTAGTAATAGTAGGTAAAACTACTTCTATTATGAAGCTGCGATCACACTGCACTTTTCGGTCCATAGACTTTCATTCATAGCCATGCGAATGCGGCAGACCAGAATCGCAAGCACGTGCGACAAGTTTTGCATTTCACTGCATTCAAAAGTTCAAGCTTAGTGAAATCTTACCTACAAAATCACATCAGGTGATTACGAAAGACCAATAGAAGATAATTTTAAATAAGAAATTTAAAATTACGGAGCAATTGCTCACTTTTATTAATGTCTAATCATATTGTATAACCCCGCCCCTTTTCACAGCACCATATGACAGAATTTTGCAAGCACAAGCTCTAGTGTGACCGCAGCTTAAGTCGCTTTGGACAAAAATGTCTGCTAAATGACTAAACGAAATATAATTTCTATGACTTTTCCAAAACCTTGTGGGTTTTTCTGTTTTCCCAAATTTTTTCCAGGCCTGGAAAATGCCATGTCAAAATTTCATGACTTTTCCAGGTTTTCCATGACCGTATGAACCCTGAGACAATCATTCATAATAAACTAAAATATAATTTATCCTCATTTCTCTTCAATTCGATGCCTGGCAATTATTGGAATATTTGTAATTACACTTTTATAAACATTTATGAATTACTTATGCTTTAGTATCAAATACCTACTTAAAAGACAACTCAATATTACCCAAATAACATACTGTAAAGACAAAGTTTAGATGTTATATTAGAAAGTATACAGACTTTACCGTTAAGAGTGTATGGTGACTTTGCCACTTGCTTGTCCTGGTACAAAACTTCAATCTTTAATCCCTTCAAAGTACTTCCATAGAGGCGGTATCTGACAAGAAGGGAGCCGTCGCCCCGATCCAAGGGTGCTGGGACATGTATTCGAAGATACTCCTTTTCCAGTGAGGAAATCTTCACTTTAAAAGAGTCTTTATCTAAAATACAGCAGAAATCATAGCATGCAAGACGAGAAAGTGACGAGCACTTGACTGATAAACTAAATATGAATTTTAGAAAATATTATGCACAATATTATTTGGATTTCTTATTGAAATATTACTAAATTACTTGCCACATGAAAATATAAGTGTCTTTCAATTATACTTGTGGTAAAGTGTATTAAACTGTATATATTATAGTTTGTTAATGAATGCTACAGCATATTGTAGTATTAACTATAGTGAACTGATAAACTGTAATAAATACTGTGGTATATTTAGTTTTTACCACAGCAAACTGTTTTGCATAACGTGTTTGCACATGTAGTGTTGCATAATATAGACGTAAAAAAAACATAGTAGCCTACAACAGTGGATTAATTACATCTTAGGCTTAGTTGTTGTATTACTACAGCTAATGACTCCAAGTACTTTACTATAGTATTTCACCATGTTCTTCATAAAAACTTCTACAAAAAATACTATACACTCAACTCAATTACTTTTGTTCAAACAACATAATTAAAATGAGTTGAAACACAATTCTTGGACAACTTATATGTTTTATGTTCAATCCACTTACATTTCTTAAAACGATTAAGCTAACTTAATAAATTTGTGTTGGGACAACATGAAGGAATTAAGTGGATTTTTTTACAGTACAGTACAGTTAGTAAATACAATTATGTTTAGTATTTACTATAACTTACTATATTATTTTTGTGCGTTTTTTTATGAAAAACGTGATGAAATACTGAAACCTTTATTAAAATGTCTAATGGAAAACAAAACCTACACGTAAACACGCATACATTTTATACAAAATGCTTTTATTCTTATGATAACAACTTAACACGGTCTATTACATTTCCAAATAATATTCATGTTTAAAATAATATCAATACTGTTGATTTTCATTCTTACCTGGAGAGAGGGTGATGTTTTCCCCTTGTGAATCAACAGTTTGTATGTAAAAGTACCGGACAGGAAGCACAACATCAGGATTCAATCCAGGACCCCAAACGAGACATTTACCCGGATTAATCTCAATAGTCTGACCAAACCCTACACTTAAAGCTATAGTAATGACTAGGGGGAAGGCAACATTTGGTACAGGTGCAAAAGTTTTTCTTTTGTTTATATGCAGAATCATTTTATCAGTTGGTTCAGTCGTTCGGAGTAGCAGGAGAGTAAAGGTAACTTAAAATTACAGAAAACGCTGCTAAGAATTTATTGGCATTGTTAATACACCTTTTTGCTTTTTCTCCTTTTGTAGACCCGAAGTTGTTGCATTAACACTGAAAATAACACGCTTAAAAATAATTAGGGTAGATTTTGAGCGTGGCGCTTGTGTTGCGGTGCGCCTAAAAAATAAATCCGCCGTGTTTCGGAACATTAATGAAGAGTTCCGGATTTTATGAAAAAAAATTTCAATCATAGTGTATCGTAACAAAGCCATACATATTCATTCTAATTAAATTCCTTTGTGCTTAATGGAAAATACATTTATTTTGTTTGATATTTGTTTTCTGAAATGACCTGAACACACTCTCTGTGTAAATACATAAGCAGACAAACGACAAAGGGAATTCGTTTTTTTTTATTCCAACACACAACAAACTTCTTAACCATTACAAGAAAGTCTTTTATTTACTTAGCAAATTAATATTCCTTTTAGTAAACTTCAACATTGTATCTACAAAATAAGAGTTAGCAATTGAGTTAGCAATATCACATTTTAGCAATGATTACTGACAAATTCCAGCGGGCACCTTAATGTCAAAACAACATCAAATTGACATTGACATGGAAAAAAAAGTCAAAAATGCAAATTATTTATGTCAAAACCTTGATGTCCATTTAATATCCACACCCTTTTGACCGCCAAAAAAACAACAACAACACAAACAGTATTATAACATAATTATTCATCTGAAAGATTCAATTACAAACGTACACATAATTTTGTGTTTCCAAATGCTTGTAAACCACCTTGATTAAATAAACTTTTAAAATTGTTGTCAAAAAACATCAAAAATCAATCAGAATGTATTATTTTTCATGAAATGTCAGTGAATTCATTTTTTTTCTTTTTCAATTCCGAAAGGTAATGGATTTTTTATAATCACACTGCAATGAAATATACTTATACTACTTTGAATTTGTCCATGACAGGGTTGACACAATTTGAGGTTTTTTAATGTTTTTCTGCTTGCAGATTATTTATAAAAAGTGCAGGAGCTGACCAACAATAATTTCTTACAGTCTAAATAATTTAACTGTGTGGTTAAGTAAAAAATCCCAAATTTATTTTATTTTTTTATTTAATGGCACTTTATAGTATTAATGACCCTTTTACATTAAGATAGTCAAATGACATTAAATCGATTTACATTTTTAATGTGTTTTTGATGACATTAATGACATTTTCAATGTCGTTTTTACATCAAGGAGCCTATTGGGTCACGAACAAATGCATTTTCCTCCACCACTCACGTTTTTAGCAGTGACAATGAAGTTACAAACTCTTTAGGGTGTCTAAAAGGCCATGGAAACCAAGAAAAAAAATGTATATCACTGCACACTTAATTATGACCCTTTCCAATCTGAATACAGCCGTCGGTTCTCTGCTACCCAGTCAACAAACTGACTGACACGAGCATATGCTCCAGGCCGCTGAGGTCGTCCACAACCGATACCAAAAGACGTTGCGCCCACAAGAACCCAATGCCCTTCCTCTTCACACATCAGCGGACCGCCAGAATCCCCCTGTCAAAAGTTCACTAATTAAGCCAATGCAATTTTTTAAATGAGAAATTATGAAAAATAAATAATTTATTCATGTACAACAGTTTAGTAAATAGTTAACATGCAAGACCTTCAATCAGTCCCTAATCCAATGACAACTATTTTGAGACGAAAGTCACAGGTGGCTCGTGGGTATTTAGTAAGGTTTACCCTATTTCATGTGTATGAACAGCATCTAAATAGTTATTTTAAATATTATATAAACAGTTATTTTCCACCTGGTGTTAGCAACATCTTAATATAATTCATTTGTATTTATGTTAATCAATGTTAATCGCCCTGCTGCTTCACCCATATTCTCCGTCCTCATGACTCCGTTCGAAGAACATTTAATAAATGGGAAATGCCTTAACAAAAGTGACTCCTTCTCTGTTAAAAAGCACATATTGCTTAGACAACTATTTTCCCATAGCAAATAGTCGCCACCATATATAATTATTATTATCTTTATATTTAAATTGTCAGAAAATGACATGATGTATAATCAATAAAAAGCACACAGATTTTTTTCATATTTATTTTTAACTAAACTGAATGCTGTAATTAGTCAAGAGTGGAAACGTCAGTTTAAAAAAAAAAAACATGCTGAATTGAGAATACTTTCAGCTTTATAACCAAGTTGACCTGGCGTTAGATTTATTTATAAGCGTTAAATAATTAAAATGTATTTTGAAAAACATACAAACCTGGCAAGTGTCGACTCCACCCTCAGCATACCCAGCACACATCATGCGCTCTGTAAAGTTGTATTCAGGCAGCCATTCCTGACACTGTGTGTTGCTCAACAGAGGCACAACAGCCTGCTGTAACACATCAGCTTTTAAACCTAGAGTTCAAGAACAGAGCTTATAAAATCCATATCCAAACGAATACAAACTAGGAAGACAAAAAAGTAAAATACAATGCACAAATCTGACCGCTTTCAGACAGTAATCCCCAACCAGCAATAAAACACTTTCTCCCTTCTTCAAAGTGTGCTCCGGGATCTGGTAGGCAGATAGGCTGAACATAATCTGAAAGAATAGAATCCACTCCTGTTATCTGCGTTTTCTTTTTAATAATTAAATTCATTATTACATACATATTTGGCATTTTTGGTGCAAACACTTTCCAAACTTGCCAGACAAAAAATCCCAAACGAAATTTAAAAACTGCATATAACTCTGCATTGTAGCTTTGTAAGTAGTGGTAAATGATCACTGTTTATGTAATTTTGTAATTCCTGTGACAGGAAAGCAGATTTTTAGCAACAATTTCAAGTTTTCAATGTCAAAGTTCCCCCCCAAAAAAAGTCTAATTTACTCACCCTCAAGCAGTTCCAAACCATTATGAGTTTCTATTTTCTGTCGAACACAAGGTAAGATATTCTGAAGAATGCTGAAAACCGGTAACTATTGACATCCAAAGTAGAAAATACCAATATTATGGAAGCCAGTGGTTTACAGCGTTCTTCAAAATATCTTTTTGTGTGTCTACACTAATATGTTTTAGTTTTAAAACGCATACATTTTGCAATAGTTATTCCTTCTGTCCACATAACCCCAGAGTTTTTAAGCCCCAAAAACGAAGCATTTTTAAACACTAAAGAGGCTATTTCTGTTTTAAAAGGATGCTGCTCTGTGTCAGTGTGGATGGGGGGAAACGAAGACATCTGAAAATGGAAGCATGGCTGCAGACATTCGCCAATCTGATTGGGGCTTTTTCTCAATATTAAGTACACAAAACGCAGTCTTGCGTCCTTGTAAGTTTGATATGAAAAACAAGCCCCCAAGGACACGTCGAGTAAATCTTCCAAGGGAACTGTGTACTATATAATGCCATTCGCATCACTCTGGCTACATTGTTTGATTATTTTAACAGTAAGATGAAAACATGATATAAGGAACTGCCTATTTTACTTTTGATATTAACAACTAAACAGACACCTAAAACATTGAGGCGTCATGTAGTTACATGACTGTCATCTTCACTCTATGCATATTTATAACAAAACTGAGCCTATAACATAACTACCTTCTTTTGTTTTCATTGAAAAATATTAAGCATTCCTTGTCTCTTTTGCTGAATATCAGTTTTAATAATTAATAATGGCATTTTAATAGTATAACATACAATAAGTATATACAATATACAGTGCATGTGGAAAGTATTCATAGCACTTCACTTTTTCCTCTTTTTTATGTTACAGCCCTTTTCCAAAATAAATTAAATTCATTTATTTTCTCAAAATTCTACACGCAATACCCCATAATGACAATGTGAAAAAGAGTGATTGAAATTGTTGCAAATTTGGTAAAAATAAAACACCTGAAAAATCACATGTACATAATTATTTACAGTCTTTGCTCAATACTTTGTTGATGCACCTTTGGCAGCAATTACAGCTTCAAGTCTTTTTGAATATGATGCCACAAGCTTGGCACACCTGTCTTTGGGAATTTTTACCCATTCCTCTTTGCAGTACCTCTCAAGCTCTATCAGGTTGAATGGGAAGTGACGGTGTACAGAAATTTTCAGATCTCTCCAGAGATGTTCAATAGGATTTAGGTCTGGGCACTGGCAGGGCCACTCAAGGACATTCACAGAGTTGTTGTAAAGCCACTCCATTAATATTTTGACAGTGTGCTTTGAGTCATTGTCCAGCTGGAAGATGAACCTTCGCCCCAGTCTGAGGTCAAGAGCACTCTGAAGCAGGTTTTCATTCAGGATGTCTCTGTACATTGCTGCGTTCATCTTTCCCTCTATCCTGACTAGTCTTCCAGTTCCTGCTGCTGATAAACATCCCCACAGCATGATGCTGCCACCACCATGCTTCAGTGTAGTGATGGTATTAGCCTGGTGATGAGCAGTGCCTGGTTTTCTCCAAACGCAACGCCTGGCATTCACTCCAAAGAGTTCAATTTTTGTCATCAGACCAGAGAATTTTGTTTCTTATGGTCTGAGAGTCCTTCAGATGCCTTATGGCAAATTCCAGGTGGGGAGTGGCTTCTGTCTGGCCACTCTATCATACAGGCCTGATTGCTGCACAGATGGTTGTCCTTCTGCAAGGTTCTCCTCTCTCCACAGAAGAACGCTGGAGCTCAGACAGAGTGACCATTGGGTTATTGATCACCTTCCTGACTAAGGCCCTTCTCCCCTGATCACTCAGCTTAGATGGCCGGCCAGCTCTAGGAAGAGTCCTGGTGGTTGCAAACATCTTGCACTTACAGATGATGGAGGCCACTGGGCTCATTGGAACTTTTAGAGCAGCAGAATTTTTTTCTGTAACCTTCCTCAGCCTTGTGCCTCGAGACAATCCTGTCTTGGAGGTCTACAGACAATTACTTTGTCTTCATGCTTGGTTTATGCTTTGACATGCACTGTTAACCCTGGGACCTCATATAGACAGGCGTATGCCTTTTCAAATCATGTCCAATCAACTGAATTTACCCAAGGTGCACTCCAATTAAGCTGCTGAAACATCTCAAGAATGATCAGTGGAAACAGAAAGTACCTGAGCTTAATTTAGAGCTTCACGGAAAAGGCTGTGAACACTGATGTACATGTGATTTTTCAGATTATTTTTTTTTTTATAAATTTGCAACATTTTCAAAAATCTGTTTTCACATTGTCATTATGGTGTATTGTAAGTACAATTTTGAGGAAATAAATGAATTTAATCCATTTTGGCTGTACACGGTAATCGGGATTAATCACGATTAATTTTTCAAAAAGGTGCGATTAAGTAGTTAATTTTTTTTAATCGATTGATATATATATATATATATATATATGAATAATGTTGATTTTCAATTAACATTATTTTGAAAAAATTACATTAATATTTTAAATAATAAGTGGTATCTAATTCGTAGAAATTTTAACAAAAAGTTCCCCATCCCTATTGTATACATGAAGGCTATGGCTGTGACAAGCACATGGGAACGGTGGGCAGTAGAACCAGCTCATTAGCATTAAAGAAACAGGAAACAAAAAACAGCTACACTGTTAAAGCAGCTCCCATTTCCCAGATTTATAAAGGAATAATAATTATAATCTGATAGGTATTTTGAGTTGAAACTTTACAGACACATTCTGGAGACACAAAGGCTTTATATTAAATCTTGAAAAAACTGGTGCTCTTTAAATCTCAGTAAAACTGTATGATAAAACATTTACTGTTGTAATAGTCAATATTGTATTGATATAAAGTATCAATATAAAAACAATATAGTATAGTCAATAAAACTGAAGAATCAAATGTTATTTCCGTACCTGTGTAGCTGACAGGTGTCTTTAAATGCATTAGAGCAAAGTCAGATTCCTTTGTCCTCTTGTTATAGTGCTTGTGCATGATAACTTGATCCACTGAAAAGACTTGCTTGTTGGGGTTAATCGTCTCAAACTGAGCGTGAAGGCCCAAAACAGCCGCCCAGTTCGACAGCTGAACATTCCTCCTAAAGGAATCAAAATAACATTTCTGTCTAAGTACATGTTCCGGTTTTTTTTAAAGCTACAAGCACATTGACAACATGGTTGAAGTCAAAATATTATCTCTCCTGTGAATTTTTTTCTTTATTAAATATTTCCCAAATGATGTTTAACTGTAATTTTTCACAGTTTTTCCTTTAATGATTTTTCTTCTGAAGAAAGTCTTAATTGTTTTATTTCAGCTAGAACAAAAGCAGTTTTTAATTTTTTTAATCAGTTTAAGTTTTAATAACTCATTTTTAATAACTGATTTATTTTACCTTTACCATATTGATAGTAAATTATATTTAACTAGATATTTTCATAATACTTCTATACAGCTTAAAATGACATTTAAATGCTAAACTAGGTTAATTAGGTTACCTAAGGCAGGTTAGGGTAATTAGCCAAGTTATTATATAATGATGGTTGTCATTGAAAATATATAGCTTAAAGAGGCTAATAATTTTAGCCTTAAAATGTTTTTTAAACAATTAAAAACTGCTTTTATTCTAACCGATATAAAACAAATAAGACTTTCTCCAGATGAAAAAATATTATCAGACATACTGTGAAAATTTCCTGTCTACCAGCAAGAAGGTTAATATTATTAAACTGGAAACAGAAAGCTGTTCCTACATCTATATATTGTCACGATTACCAGCGATCATATTCCATAAGATCGCTGGCTTGCATTAACAATAACTCATGGACTACTATTCCCCCATTTCTGGACTACATATTCATACATGCACTCCGGTCACACTCACACATGCTTCCTCATCTAGACTGACTACTTGCACCACCTGAGGATTGTCAGAGACTGATTGCACATACTATTTAAAGCCACACACTCACCCATTCAGTTGGCTGAGTCTTGTTATCTGTCACAGTGACATTACAACGAGTTTTCTTTGTCTGCCTTTCCGTGTTTTGATCCTTGCCTTGCTTATTTATTTAATTCTGTTTGCTGCCTTCCTCTGACCATCTGCCTGTTAATTTGACTTCGACTCTGGATTGCCCTCATACATCTGTTTGCCCCAGTATTGACCATTGCTTGCCTGACAATTCTAAAACCTGCACGTGGATCCACACCTCAGTTGTTTGTGTCACTCCCCGTGGTAACATATATCTATACATTTACATCTAATGAGGGATGTAATGAAACATTTGGAACTGAAGAAAATCAGATTCTCCCTTTCATGGATTATTTAAAAAACATAAATTACGCAAGACATAGTTAAATTGAAGAGGATTAGACTCATTTAGATTAAAATAAAAGATGACTATTATTTTATTTATTATTATTATTTTTATTTATTTATTTTTGTATTTATTTTATTATTTGTTTCCTTTTTGTTTTTATTTTAGTAATTTTATTAATTAATAAAAAATTTTATTCATTTGTTTATTTATAATTGTATTAATCTATTATTTGTAGGAACAATTTTGTAAGTTGTTGTGCTTGAATGTCTAAAAAACAATAAAAAAAATGGGTATTAAAACTATAATGTTTAGAAATGTATTGAAAAATATCTTCTTTCCGTTAAAGAAAAAATAAGGGGAAAATATACAGGGAAGCGAATAATTCAGAAGGGCTATTAATTCTAACTTCAACTGTACTTGCAGAATTGCAGATCAGCAATTACCCATAGACACAGTGTGCTGCTGTAATCAACCACTCTCTGTCAATCAGTGTGGCTCCGCATGCATGTCCACCAAGCCACTGCAGAGACACCATCCATGGCCAGGCTCCTCTCTGGGCATCCTGTCCTCCTACCACTCTGCCTTCTTTTTTTCCATCCGTTTCCTCAATTATCTTGCTTTTTGAAGGTACTTTACGGACACCACATGCTATAAAAAACACAATGTAAACAATTAAATATATTTTAAATACTTTTTGAGTGTATTACTTTAGATTAGATTCAACTTTATTGTCATTACACATGCACAAGTACAAGGCAACAAAATGCAGTCAAAAGTGCAGCATATAGGTATAAGTTATAAATGCAATTATAGATGGATGCACTTTGAACATAATATACAAGTTGTATTAACTGTAGTCAGATACTTACAAATAGATAAACATACTATACAGGTAGCTATTAATAACCAGGAATATGAAAATAGATATGAACATAATATACAGGTTGTTATTTGATATAAACAGGCATTACAAACAGATATAGGAACAGTTGAAGTCAGAATTATTAGCCCCCCTGAAATATCCACCCCTCTGTTTATTTTTTCCCCAATTTCTGTTTAACGGAGAGAAGGTTTTTTCAACACATTTCTAAACATAATAGTTTTAATAACTCATTTCTAATAACTGATTTATTTCATCTTTGACATGATGACAGTAAATAATATTTTACTAGATATTTTTAGACATTCTATACAGCTTAAAGTGACATTTAAAGGCTTAACTAGGTTAACTATCAAGAAAAAATAGCTAGGGGCTAATCATTTTGAGCTTAAAATGGATTTTAAAATATTGAAAACTGCTTTTATTCTAGCCGAAATAAAACAAATAAGACTTTCCCCAGAAGGACAAATATTATCGGACATACTGTGAAAATGTCCTTGCTCTGTTAAACATAATTTAGGAAATATAAAAAAACAAAAAGAAAAAAAGGGGGGCTAATAATTCTGACTTCAACTGTATGCATATTATACATTTACATATATATATGTGCATGGATGTGTACATTTACAAATGGGTATGTGTAGTGTAGTGTTATTATAAGAATAGGTTTTACACTTACGTTGATTGTTGCAGTGCAGTGAAACGATCTTCTCACTGATACATTTGTCACTTTAAAAAAACAAATGGAATTCAAATGATTTTATACGCTAATGATTATGTTTGTTTAATAGATAAATAGGGGTGTGACTTGGCTCATGCCATTAGACAATTATATAAGATTTAGGAGATCAACATGCACACTGTACTTTTTCAATAACTCATAAAATACACAGTGATGTGGAAGTGTCTGCTTCTTCACTGATTATTTATTTTTTTTTTTTTTTGCATGTTTGGCACATTTTATATTACTTTTTCTGAAACAAGTGTGACAAATATGCAAAAAAAAAATAAATCGCTATGGGTGCAAAAACTTATTCACACCATTCCATTAAGTGTAGGGGGTAAACATTTTTTTTTCATACAGGGCTATAGTTTTATTCCATGGTCTGTTAAAATTCTTGATTCTGATTAGCTGGAGGGTGTGCATTATTTTTGTTGAAATGCACAGGTAGTTCCTTTAAGTTTTCATCACAGATATTTTTTAAGACACTTTTATACAGCTTAAAGTGACATGTAAAGGCTTAACTAAGTTAATAAGGTGAACTAGGCAGGTTAGGGTAATTAGGCAAGTTATTCAATAACGATGGTTTGTTCTGTAGACTATCGGAAAAAAAATAGCTTAAAGGACTAATAATTGTGTCCCAAAAATAATTTTTAAAAAAATTATAACTGCTTTTATTCTTGCCGAAATAAAAAATAAAACACACACACACACATATATATATATATATATATATATATATATATATATATATATATATATATATATATATATATATATATATATACACACACACACACACACACACACACACACACACACACACACACATACATACAGCCTGGTAAAAGCCAGCGTAATTTTAAACTATGGCTGATCAAATCATTATAAATCTGGAAAGTGACTTTCTAAGTCAATCGCTCTTTTTTGTATGTTGTAGTGATGTATTTACATCATAGTAGATGTAACACCCAGCGCAAAGTGGCGCAAGGCGCGGCGCAATACTTGTTTGCTAGTTTCAGCTTGGCGCAAGTGTCGTTTTGAGGCGTTGCGCTACGCTGTTTAAATAGCAAATGCATTAGCGCTCATATGTGCGCCCATAGGCGTTCTGGTCTAAAAAGGAAGGTGTTCTGAGGCGGACCGCTGGTGCGTTGCTATTTAGAGAAACTAAAATAGATTTTTCATTAGACCAAAACAAACCCGTTCTAAACTCCGGCGCAGAGTTGCGCCTCGCTTACACACTGCTTAATAAGCACAAGAGAGCAATAGGCAAATATCTTTACATATGAATAAATTAAATATTAAGGATATATATAGGATATAATAAGAATAGATATAGGATATAAATATAAAGGATTAAAATATTACAAAACATTATTTTCTAGCCTACATACTGTAAATATGAAAAATCACTGCTTTTGTCTTCTTCATCTCGGGAGGCTTTTTCAGTTAATTCATAACAATTTGCTTTTGTATAATGTATTTATTCTTAGCAGTATTATTTATTATATCCATATTTACATTTGTTTTATTAAAAACAAGCTTAGATTTCCCCACCTGTCAGGTTTTAGACCATAAGGGGCACTTCATGTGTTGTTCATTTATTCGTTTACTGGAAATTAGAACTGAATTCAGAAATAGTTTTGAAACGAATATTTGCGCTTAACAAACGCAATTAATTATTTGTAGAATAATTGATGTCTGTGCGTAAAGGTTTCCTTATCCAAGAGCGAAAGTGAAAGTGATCCATTATCTCTCATTTTAACGCAGTAGATGCTCTGTTTAACAGTTTTCTGTAAAAAAAAAAAAAACTGTTAACTGTTGACTGTTTGCTAGTGAAATGCTCAGTTTTTCCACTTAGAATTACTTTACGTCCTGTAAATAGCGAATGCGCTTATAGCGCGAAGCAACTGGCTCTTAAAGGGAATGGGAGATGAGACTCTAATTGGTTTATTCTCAAAACACACCTATAACTCATTAAGTAAATAAACTCAACCCTTTTAGACCATGCGCCACGGCGCAAAGCGGATTATAGCTAAAATGCGTTCTGACATGCCCTAAAAGCGTTTGCGCCCTGCGTTTTGCGCTCTGCGCATGGACCGTCAAAATAGAGCCCTAAGTTTCTTTTTGGTTGGCCATCTGTTTCTAATGAGTCTCCTGTTTTTGTTACTGCAGACTAGTTCAGTTAACAGAAATAAAGAAGACATGCCTGCATGTGTTCAGCGCTTTTCCTTATCACAAACACAACAGTAATCTAGTAGATTGCATTACTTTGGCTTTTTATGGGTTAATTATTCTAATCTTCAGATTGCAACAGAGAAATACTGGGAAATTTCTGTAGACTGATGGCATTTCATGCCGTTTAGCCATATAATCTTAAAATCTCAGCAAAATCAGCTGGCATTTTTGTCTTCACTTTAGATATTACGCTAGAGAATCCTTCAAATACTAACTATAAAATGACATTGATGAAGTAGCAAATGTTTCTGGTGTTCTTAAGTTAGCTGCAGATGTGAATGAATTGCGGAAGAAAGTAATTCCTCTTACAAAAGTATCTTTAGACTCTCCGGGCCCTATCATACACCCGGCGCAATGCGGCGCAATGTGGCGCAAGACACGACGCAATTGATGTTTGCTAGTTTCAGCTCGGCACAAGAGTCATTTCGACATTTTGCCCCACAATGTTTAAATAGCAAATGCATTTGCGCTTATGTGCGCCCATAGGCATTCTAATCTAAAAAAGGAGGCGCGTTGAGACGCGTTGCTATTTTGAGGAACTTAAATAGACGGTTCAATAGATCAGATCAAAACAGGTCTAAAATCCAGCGCAGAGCGCGTTAGTTGTGCAACTCGCTTACACATTGCTTAATACACACAAGATGTACAGCAATACGCAAATATCTTTACAAATGAAAAAGAATTAAAGGATTAAAATATTACAAAAATTATTATTTTCTAGCCAACATAAATATAAAAACCATACTTTCATTCTTCATCTCATGGACTTTTTCAGTTTTTTCATAACAATTTGCTTTTGTGTAATGTTATCATTATTAGCATTATTATTTATTATATGCATATTTATATTTGTTTTATTAAAAACAAGCTTAGATTTATCCACCTGTCAGGTTTTCGACCATATGGGGCACAGCTTGTGTATTTGAATATAACTCAGTTTTTTAAACACACTTCATTATTATTGTTCATGTATTAGTTTGCTGGAAATTAGAACTGAATTTAGAAATAGTTTTGAAACAAATCTTTGCACTTAACAAACAAAATTAATTTTTTATAGGCTAATTGATGTCTGTGCATACAACATGTTTCCCTATTAACGAGGATGAAAGCGAAAGTACGGAATGAGGAGGCTCATCTCTCATTTTCGTAGATGCTGTTTAACTGTTTACTCTCTAGTGAAGTGTTCAGTTTTTCTACTTACAAAGTAAAAATTTTAAAATAAGTTAAATCTTTGTAGACTAGAAATACATGTCCTGTATATCGTTTATTTTAAAAATGCGGAGATACATTATACATTAATTTTATTTAAAAATATGATATTAATCTTATTTTTTAATTCAACTTTAGCGGTGGGGCCAGGTAGGGGGGCTACAAGACATTGTGCCCAGGGGGCTCTGAATTCTTAATCCGGGCCTGCCAGTGAGTCACGTAATAGTCTGCTTTGTGTGCGGATTGGACTTTTGTCCACTGGGGTTTTACTCTCATAGAATTTGAGTGAGAAAACAATGATGTCTGAGGCTCGCGGTATAAACATTTCCATATTCTGATCTCTTATTATTCAACTATGGTTAGATATACCTAGATTTTCTATATAGGGCACCTTCAATACAAAGTTTTATTTTGACACTTGCACATATTCATGTGCATCTACAAACATATTTCTGCTTAAGCATGCATTCTGGTATTCTCATTTACACACCACACAAGTCCAGAGGCATACCTCATTGCAACAAGAATGCTGCAGTTAAAGCCAATTTAAGAATCATGTATTATTTTTATGTTGTGTGCCACTTGATTTTTTTTCACCTATTCATTTTTCAATATTATTTTAAAAACTGAAGTGATTTTTTTTTTTATTAGGAATGATACAAAATGCGCAATCCTCACAGAGTTAAATTTATAGAGTTCATATTACTTTGGATGAATTTGTGAGTTAATAAAAATGTAACTGATTATGAACGTTAGAGGGGCGAAGCAGTGGCGCAGTAGGTAGGGCTGTCGCCTCACAGCAAGAAGGTCGTTGGGTTGCTGATTCGAGCCTCGGCTCAGTTGGCATTTCTGTGTGGAGTTTGCATGTTCTCCCTGCGTTCGCGTGGGTTTCCTCCGGGTGCTCTGGTTTCCCCCACAGTCGAAAGACATGCGGTACAGGTGAATTGAGTAGGCTAAATTGTCCGTAGTGTATGAGTGTGTGTGTGTGTGTGTGTGTGATTGTTTGTGTTTCCCAGAGATGGGTTGCGGCTGGAAGGGCATCTACTGCGTAAAAACTTGTTGGATAAGTTGGCAGTTCATTCCGCTGTGGCGACCCCAGATTAAAAACGTGACTAAGCCGACAAGAAAATGAATGAATGAATGAATGAACGTTAGACACAAAATATCTTAATATCAATAAATCGATTACAATTACGAGGTAAACTACAAAAACGCAACTTCATGTCACACCCCCATGGATTTTGTATTTCTATAATTACCTGGGTTTCAGTTCCAGTGAGCCATTAGTGTTCACATTTACAGTAGTAAATGGACCATCTCCTTCCACAGTGATGGAGAACAAGGCAACCCCTGACCTAGATACATCAACAAACATGACATTAGGCATTTCACACACTTTTACAATAGGTATTACTTTATCAAATTGGAACAATGTGCTTTCAAGTTTTCTCTGATTGATGGTTCATGCTTTTTAGGAAGTGATTTTTTTATTACAAATTTGAAAAATGTTTGTATTCAGGTCATAGCACTCTTATTTTTGCTGTAAATTAACTACTGTTTCTACTGCAGATTCATTTTCTGATTTTACTGGAATTAGGCAACTTAGATTTAATTGGTTATTAACACATGATTTCTAAAATACCAATTTTTCAATTAATTAAAATTATTGATTATTTTAATTAAATTTATTTTGATTATTTTAATTAAAATTATTTTAATTAAAAATTAATAAAAATATCTTTCGCTTGCTTAAAAAAGTTTGAATTGTCAATCAGATGTTTTAAGTAACATTTTATATTTCAGTCATCATTGTATTATATGGGTTGTTTTCACATGACATCATTGATGATGTGCAAAATTCAGAAGGAGAGCAGGAAGTGGTTCTTCTACCGCTATCAGAACATCAAAATGTTTCTGTTTTATGTTGTCTATAATTGTTTAAATCGGCCAAAAAAAAGAAATGCAGAACAGCTTTTATAGACTTCCAGAGGTTTTGCTCATAAAGTGGGGAAAGTTCAAGAAACTGGCTGAAAAATAGAAACACTTATTCATTACATTCATGTGTGCCAACTTTTTTGATTGTGATAATTCGTTTGACAGCAACAATAAAGATTATATACAGGTTAAGCTATGTTAAAATATTGTGTAAAACAATACAAACAGCCCCACACATCGCTGCAATGAAATATCCATCTTGTTTTGCAATAATCCATGTATTTACTGGCGTTTCGGCAGAATAAACAACCGTAACATGAACATCGAGATGCGCAGCAGCTGTGAATGTTTGTTAATAGTAATTTCATCGACAGAGCAAAAAAGAAAATGAAGCCCTTGCGACAAAACTAGACGGTTATTATTGTGGAGCACTTTTCCCCCCACTTACAAAAATAAATAAATAATGTCAACTATTCGTCCACACTTTTGCTTTCATCTCTTATTTCGTCTGCAAGGTACAGTATCTAACTAAAACTATAAAACTATAGTAATTTATAATAAATGTTTACAATGTGTACAACTCTAGTACAATAAACTGTAATAAATACTGCACTGCTAGTGTAAACTGTGGTGCATCAGGATTATAGGATAGAAAATTAAGCCTACTGAATCATTTTTATTACTACAGTTGTGTTGTACCACAAAAACAATATAATTACTATGACAGTTTAATTCAAGTAGTTATCTATAGTATGCTTCCAAACACTATAGTATTTTTCATGTAATATATTTTAGTTCAGTAGAAAACTCTGCCCTCTTCGTGATATAAGGATCATGCCCAACATTGCTTATTTTCAATTTATATCTACTTCGAAATCTGGTTTAAATCGCAAAAATATTGACTTACCCCTATATCTCCCATTTAGTTTTTTACTTCCTGCCCTCCATCTGATTTTCGCATGTCACCAGAATCACATGATTGTAAACAACCTATAACAGATTTACCCTGAAAATAAAACTAAGCGTTTCAGTATAATCTAAACACGTATAACAGTGAGAAATAGAATGATAATTGATCATTATTTTGTGCAAATACCCTTGTTATACAGATACAAAGGCTGTATTGATAAGCATAATCTGACATAAGAGTTGTATCTCACTTTTTGCTAAATAAAAGAAACTCAATAACAAGTTTCATATTATACTATATTATACAATAAAAGCCATAAATTTGTACATGAAATGTTATTGAACAAGAACATAGTTTGATCATTTTAAAATTTATTTCTCAATAGATTGTTCCGTTACAAAATATGTTTACTTTTATGACAGTTTTTGGATTTTATGACTATTATCTTATTTCATCCATTAAACATTAACTATTAAAATACATTTCGTCACCTTGGAATTATAAGGTTCTATCTGCGTTCAAAATGATTTTGAGATATTGAGCTGCACATTTTTTGCATTTCAAAGCAAATTGTATGTGTTTAACATTTGTGTTTTTTTTAATAAAAAGTCTTAAAATGTAAAAACATAAAAAACATCCCATAATGTAAATAAGTTGTCATTTAATAAAAATATGTAAATAACTCAATTTTGACAAAAATGCCAGATAGAACCTTATAATTCTAAGGTGACAATTTGTAATATATTCAATCAATTACCTGTAGCCCAAATAGCGGCAGAAGAAGTCTGAAAACTGAGGGGTCCAGTCTTGAGCACACACCGTGTATAAATTATTCTGGATTCGAAGTTTCAGTCGTTCAGTTCCAGTGGTGTTATCTTTTATTACATGCACTAAAATACAATACATCCTGTGATCAATAGCATGGTTTGACTTTGTGAGCTTTTGTTGTATTTTTATTTGTTGACTTACCACAATCAGCTTCATCAGTGCCATTAGGGCAGTCTTCTACCCCATCACACACACTGGCATTGGACACACATGCTCCTGCACCACACTGAAACTGTCCAGAAGGGCAAGGATCTGGATTTTGATGAGAAAGGTCATTTGTTTGTTTTCTGTCTTACATGCTGTATATGTATAGGAAACACGCCTGTAGCCAAGGGGGTTCGGGTGGTTCGAAAGACCCACCCCCCTACTGACAAAGCCCAGAATTTGGCTCCTATATGTCATCTTATTTGTCCCATTTTTGACAGTATTCTTTCATTTTCTTTTTGGCTTAGTCACATTATTAATCTGGGGTCGCCACAGTGGAATGAACCGCCAACTTAGCCAGCATATGTTTTACACAGCGGATGCCCTTCCAGCTGCAACCCATCACTGGAAAACACACACACTCATTCATACAATCATACACTACGGTTAATTTTAGCATACTCAATTCACCTATAGCGCATGTCTTTGGACTTGAGGGGGAAACCGGTGCACCTGGAGGAAACCCACGTGAACACAGGGAGAACTGACCCAGGCGAGGCTCGAACCAGGGACCTTCCTGCTGAGGCGAACGTGCTACCCACTGCACCACCACATCGCCCATTTTTGACAGTATATCATTTTAAATTCTGAAAATAACCCATAAACGAAGGTCTTAAGAAAAAATTAATTATTATTAAAATGGACAAATTCTGACTGAGGAAATTAGCTTAAGGAAATTAGCTTGAGGAAATTAGTTTGTTATTTGCCTATAGGCTACAGTTTTTAATTTAAAACAAGTTTGAACAGATTCATGATTGTTGTTTTTTAAGGAAGGAAGATTTTTAAAAAATTGTATTTCATATCAGTATTAAAACATTTTTTTTATTTCTTTTGTTTAAAAAAATAAATTTAAAATTGTAATCTTATTACATTATTTATAAAACTGTAATAGCGTAATGCACATTTGTAAATTAACAAATTTTTTTGTCATTTTTTGTTGCATCAAAAAGTGCGGGGCTTGACATTAACACCCGCCAACCCGCCAAATGCAAGTAGTTTTACTTGTGGCAGGTTAGAGAGACACCCACACTAGCCACTTTGGCTGGTTGAAAATAATTTTTAAATTGCCAGTGCTGCCTTGTCACTAAACATTAAAATTTTAGTTTAAGATCAATATGCGTGCAAATGTGATTTAAGAATCAAGAAGCAGCACGACTGATAAGTGTTCGCGTGAGCAAAAGAAAGCAGGTGAATGAGAGAATGAGAGAATGACCAGGTGAATGGAGATACTTGCTTACTGACTACAGTGTCGTGAGCAGAGCTGATTTGATGCTCCTGTGTCCCGTTTCCTTGTGCAAAGCAACCGTGACTGGAAATGCAACTGATGTGGTTGTTTCTCTTAGAAATAGATTTTGAAAAGCGGTGCTCGTGCAACAACAGTCTTTTGTTTCTAGATTTTTTGTAAGCAGCAGCAGTTGCCGTTTTCGCTTCAACCATTCTTTAAACAAATTATTAACATGTCTGACATTAACAGAATATTTTCACCAGCTTTCTTTTGCTTGCAGTTATTTTTGTCAGTGTGGTTTAATTATCATCCTTTGCAATAACATAGCTTTAATAGAAGATTAACTTTCTATTTATCTATAGTTAACTGGTGATCTGGGACCTAGTTTTAGATACGTGAGAATTTTTTTAATATATATATTTTTTAAGAAAATTTTTGTTGAATAAAAAGTTATATTTTGCTTGTTTACACATTATTTAATATTAGTGGCAAGGAAATAATTAATTTGGTGTGGCCAGAAAAAAAGGTAAATTCTTAGTCTTAAGCCCTAAAAAGTGAATACAAAGTGTGAAATGTAAAATAAAATTAGTTGCAATCTGACACTATGAAAGCCAATATGCTCATGCTCATTGAGCAAGGTCACAACACAAAAAAAAAAACTTAAATTAACGAGGAGACATGTGGACATAACACATCATCTATATCAAGTAATTTTATAATGCCAAAGTCAAATTTATGCATATATATATATATATATATATATATATATATATATATATATATATATATATATTTTCCCAACAACAAAATTGTGGCTAGTGAAAATAGCAAGTGGCTAGTAACACTTAAAATGTCACTAATGTGCAGTATTTGAACCCTATAATTTAATAGAAAATGAGGTGAATTACTGTGAAAAGGTCCACTTTTTGAGAAAAAAGAACCACCCTTTTAAATAGGCTGGGTACAAGCATGGGAAAACCTACCAGGTTGGCCAAGGTTAACGCCTGCGCTGAAGTTGGCTAGAAAGCCTCTGTTGTTTGTTTTTGCATCAGTGAATAACATGACAGTCATCTGAGAGGTTGTGGAAAAAAGATCCGGAAAGGAGCGCTCCCCAGTTAGGACACCTTATAAAGTAAAAAACACTTTGTCATTTATTGACTTTGCAATTTCATTTTAAATAAATGTTAACAAAAAGTTAACAAAAAAGTTTACTTTGGAATAATATTAATAGTCAATAAAATTGTATTATTTATATTATAAAAATAACATTTTTTAATAACACTTTTATAAAGTAAGGATGCAATAAACTGACTTTAAATTGTGACAGGGGGCTGTTTCATAAAACTGGTTAAGAAAAGCGGGGGTTAAAGTCAAAAACCCGACTTTAATGAGGCGAACTAAATGTCCACGTCTAAATTGGATCCATAAGAGCAAGTTGAAGATCATTTGATCTAACTAACCTGAGTACAGTTTAAATAATCTAGATAACTGATCGTGCACGTTACTGTCACGAAACCTTGAGGTCGAGCATCGATTACGTTGAGTGTAGCAACTGTGAGAACTGAAAGAGCTCTAAAATGAGACGCAGCTGTTCACAGCGAGTGACCCGCGTTTGTTTGTAGTTCAAACATATAAGAATTTACACATAATAATCCAAAACTACAGTATGGCTTGCAACAAAGCAAGTGAGAAGGCTGACTTGAACTGCAGATCGTCTCAATTAAAAAAACAGACCATTATCTAGGTCTATTAAGGTTAAATTAAATAATTGTTGCAATACATTAAAAGTGTGTTTGACTGTGTGTGTGCGTGCAAGAGAGAGCTAGAAAGAATACGCGCTTTCTGCCTATTGCTTGCAAGGAAAAGTTTTATTGCATGGCAGACTATCAGTAACACACAAAATGTGCTTAACGTCAGCACATTGAATTTAAAATAATGGCAACAAAAAGCCGTGCACGCACAAGCGGTGGGATTTTTAATTTGCTATCGAAACCGCTACAGAATGCTGCTTTCGCAAGTGTGTTTCCTGCGGCCCGTGGGAAAATATCTTCATATTAAAGTGAGGGTACTGCTCGGCCCTAATTCATCTCCCGATTATTCCACTGAGGGTTAGCAGATTTAAAGTCATTCTTTAAGAAATGTAGCCTACTTCGTTATATCAGTCAGTGCTTTCTTAATATATTTTCTTTATTAAATTTTGTAATTCATATACTAGCTATACACCCCTCACTGATCAATATTTTAAATTAATATTTTCTACAGAATGCTTTATAATGTTTGTGCATATACATTAAATTATTCACTACCAGTAAAATTTGCAATTAATCTAACAAAATATACTTTATATTTATCTATTTTTTTTAAATGTATATAGTTCTATTCCAAAAGATGTTTGATGTGTATATAGTTACTATTAAGTGACTATAAAGTTTTAATCATTAATAATAGGTTAAGTGAAATAAAATGGCATCAAATTACAGCAAGCGAATGTTAACAATACTTGGACTAAGCTTGAACTTGACTTATCCTGAGAGTTAATTGGCCCCAGACCAGGCTTATTTCCCAGCATAATTTGACATAGTAACGGAGTTTAAACTATCGTTAATTTCATTTATGAAACCGAATCTGCTATTAATAAACCTGACTTACCAAAATAAGCCTGGCTTTTTCTCTAAACTTGGATTATGGAACAATCCCCAGAAAATTAACATTTCAATAAATATTGCTAATTTTGTTTTTTCTACTCAATAAAAAAATAAATAAATACAAAGACAGTTGTGTGCAATATTAATAGTCCTCCTGTGAAATATTTAATCTTTTTCAAATATTTCTTAAGTGATATTTAATACAGCAAATACATTTTCACAGTTTTTCCCATAATATTTTTCTTCTGGCGAAAGTCTAATTTGTTTTATTTTGGCTAAAACAAAAGCAGTTTCTAATTTTTTTAAAATTATTTTAAGGTCAATAATAATATTATAATCACCATTGAGCAATATATATTTTTAAATTGCCTACAGAAAAAACATTGTTACACAATGACTTGCCTAAATACCTCAACTTGCCTAGTTTAGAAGATATAGATGAAGCAGACTGGAATTATGCTTGCTTGAAAGCTCAAACACAAACAATAAATACCAGGTTTAAACTACTTCAATATAAGTGATTAATTAAAATGTCATATGTCTGCTAATGTTCCAAATGTGTGCTGTAAACGTTTCTATGATAAAGGTACACTATATCACTGCCTCTGACAGTGTCCTAAAATACTAAAATTTTGAAAAGAGATGACAATGTATGTCAGACATGTTTAATGTTAAAATCCATTTAAATGGCAAGTTTTGTATTATTGGTCTGTTTTCTATAAACCTTACAATTGGAAAAATTGAGATTTTATTTTCTTCAAGCTAGAAGGGCTATTGCATTTTCTGGAAACACAAGGATGCTCCATCCATGGAATTGTGGAAAAAAGAGATTTTAAACTGTATTGGACTGGAAAGTCTAAGTTATATCATCAAAGGTAAGCAGAAGGACTTTGACTATCTTTCGGAAGCACATACGAATATTACTGAGGTTGTGTGTTTGTAAACAAGTAATTTTTTATTGTATTATTGTTTGTATTCTTTTTTCAATGTTTTAATTCATGAATTTTATTTATTATATTTTTTATTTACTTATTTTATTTTATGCCATTTGAATGTGTATATGTGTGTATGTATATGTGTGTGTATATATATATATATATATATATATATATATATATATATATATATATATATATATATATATATATATATATATATATATATATATATATGTACAAGAAGGGTTTTATGTGCTGTTTTGTAGGCTCCATTGTTATTGTATGCATAGTTGATGGGGGTGAAAAAAATCAAATGTATCTTTGGAAAAAAAACTTGCCTAGTTATCCTATTTACGCCTTCAAATGACACTTTAAGCTGAAAACTAGTGTCTTGAAAAATAACTAGTAAAATATGTGCTGTCATCATGACAAAGATAAAAGAATTCTGTTATTAGAAATGAGTTATTAAAACTGTTGTGTTTATACATGTGTTGAAAAGATTTTCTCTCCATTAAACAGCAACTGGGAGAAAATTAAATAAAAATTTAACTGGATGGCTAATAATTCTGACTTCAACTGTATATACATAAATAAAAATACAATATATTTTACATATATTACAAACAAATTACCTAGCAAATCAGAATAGGGCTCTACTCCATCTCGAATTTCCAAGACGTCATAACTAGCCTCTAAAGCAACATCTTGAAAATGTAATTGGATATTCTGCCCTTCCTTAGCATGTAAAGTCCACATACCTGGAAAAGACAAAGCACAATAAATCAAACCAACAAAATAAAGCAGAACGTTTTTGTTAGTATCCTATTTCTAATGATTCATGGACGAAAGTAAATGTATCTATTAAATACCCACATGAAGCATTATGTCCGTAACCATCTGGGTAGTTTGGAGAGCTGAACGTCGAGTTTGGTTCATACAGGTCAAAGGGTCCCCCACAATCCTCTGTTATAATAAATCATTCAAATTGGGAAATGTTATTGTAAAGGTGCAGTATGAAAGTTTGACACCCAGTGGTTGAACTAGGTATTGCATTCCTGGATCAAAACACACAGAAGCGCAGGTTGCTAATTTGACAACACCAACAGGAGTGTGCCTGACTATCGAGTCTAAACGCTGTTTTAAGGCTGATTTAAATAATGTTCTAAATAAAAGCAAGGACATGTGATGGAAGGAATATTATCATATTAAAAGGAGTTTTTGTCCTAACCAATACCTGGAATTTATATTTTAAAAACATTTTTTTTTATTTTTGGCAGCTGAACAACAGAAATCTTGATGACACGATCACCTCAGGGACCCCTTACGTGCTTTATTCAGTGTTTAATGCTAACAATGTGAGTTTGAATGCCATTACACAAGACATTTATTGCCATACTACTGAAAACAGCAGCAGATCGTGTTCACCTCAGATCTTGAAAATAAAATAAACCTTTTAAAATTGAACTTGAGAGCTGTGAAATAATGCAAACACACATATCAGTGATTCAGCGTTCATTTAATAATGTTAAAGAGGTTTAATATGTATTAATTAGACCATAAGCCTTACCATTTCTTGGAGTGCAGCAAGTTAGATCTAATTTTGTCTCATGGAATTGAGGTCATTGATGTAGACATTATACCACAAAGTGATGATATAACAGACCCCTACCTCTTACTATACAAGCTGTGTTTACCTAAAATGAGCAGCTCCACACAGATTTATTGCCCTAGTTGGACTATCGTCCCCTCCACTAAAGATGAATTGACAAATAACGTACCTGATCTTTCTCTATTTCGAAATGCACCCGCAAACGCAAATGACCTTGATGTAGAAACCAGCAGTATGGATGCTATCTTTACTAACTACTTACTACTGTGGCACCCATCAAATTAAAAAAGGCTAGAAAGAAAAAAACTAAACAAAAATTTTCACACTGCTTTATTTGCACATCTTTTATGCGATAATCCAGTTTTGTGCATAAAGTTAATTTGCATTTTTGGATAAAAACATAGCTAACGGGTGCCAGTTACCAGCATCAAAATATCTTCTTTTGTGTTCAACAGAAGAATGTCAAATAGGTTGGGGGAATGTTTTTTAAATATCAAATGCAAACATATCATGGTATGTTTATGCTTTAGAAGACTCAAAAGCTTACATACAGCACCTTTAAAGTTTTGTGCTATAAAAATGCCATTGCATTACATTGGTGATGGGAAATTCAGATAAATTTTTACCAACTTTCACATTTGAGGCTTGACGTTTAACCAAAATCATTATGTTCATTTCAGCAGAATATTATTAAAATGTGGCATGTTAATTCCCTAACGCATAATTCACAAACGCATGCAAATGCTGGAAACCTGAAAAAATACAAAACTGTAATTAAATAAAAGGGATATTTCACTCCAAAAAACAAATCTGCCATCATTTACTCACCCCCAACCTATTTGAGATTTTTCTGTTAAATACAAAAGATATTTTGAATTTGAGGAATGCTGGTAGCTGGCACCCATTAGCTATGTTTTCATCCAAAAATGCGAATTAACTTTATGCGCAAAACTGGACTAATCGCATAAAAGACGTGCAAATAAAGCAATGTTTCCATCCAACGAGTCAAAGTGAACGAAATCGTCACTTCCTGATTATCTGGCGCCAAAAATGAACAGTATAAACAGAATTTATAAACAGACGCTTTTGATTCTGGAGGTCATTTTAACACTAATACTAATACTGAACATAATAACACTAATACTGAAATGGTTAAGGCGTTCTAGAATGACCATAACAACATTTCAGATGTTTTACAATGTGCTCAGCCTGCCTGTTTGTCCATTCTCACACATTTTTATCATCACATGACCTCTTATAACAAAATAGTTTATGTAAACCTGTCTCACGCATTCGGTGCCAGGTAAGAGGTTTAAAATAAAGGAATTTCTGTTTGTTGTATTGGCCATGTCAGCTCCCGAATTCAAACCCCATTATTATTTTGATTTCATATTTTCTTTGTCTCGTCTTTCATGTTGTGTAGTGATGTGCGATACCCCTAGTTTCTGATCCGATGCCAAGTAATATAAAGGAGAGTATTGGCGATACCAATCCGATACTTGTTTGGGAAATTAAAGTAACAAGTAGTGTACTTAAAAGTGTCACTTTATTCTGAATATGAGACATATTACAGGTCATTCTTGTTTATTGGTAAAGAATTATCATACAAAAAAAGAGCCAACTTACATATTTATTGACAGCATCTGAGCATGTTTATCTTAAAACACCTGGTTGAGAACATCTTAACAAAAACAATAAACATTCACACCTTTTGGTTTAGTGACATGTTAATCCAGTTAAGATTTTTAACCTTTTTCCGTTGTTTTATCATTGTCACAAAAACCCAAGCCCCCAAAATACAATCACATTTTCTCCCTCTGTACCTGGATAATGCCTGCCTGCTGCACCTAAGGACTCTGAAAGCGATGTCTGTCTCACCCTAGCAGCACCTGTGCCTCTCCTTTCCACCTCTTCTGACCGCCTAGTCATGACTTTGTCATATTCTATCTTGTGACTTATATGTAGATGTTTGATTAGGTTTGTGGTATAACAACAGTACGTCGCTGTTTTGAAACATTTGTCACAAACGCATCATTTGAGTTTATGGAAGTTAAGTAGCTCCACACATACTTCACTTGCGGTCACCCACATCCAATGACAGCGTGACTGAAAAACATTTGCCCCGCCAGCAGACTGACTGAGTGGCTAGCTAGAGTGCTCTGCAGATGTACAGTGCCATATTACGCACATTACTTGGCAGGCGGAAGAACAAGTAGTTCCAATTAAGTTGGCATTTTTTAGATAAATTAGGGTAATTGTGGTTACTTTCTGTTGTGTTTCTGTTTCCAATAAACTACACATTTGCTCAAGATTACTAAAATATTAATATTTTGATAAGATAATCGATTCTAAAACATTCAAAGCTGGTATCGGAGATATCGATATTTTAGTATCTATCCGCACATCACTAATGTTGATTATCATCCCTAGACGGTGCGTAACATTGCCATATCAGCTTCTCTGGCTACGTCATGGCAAAAAAAGTTCAAGTTTACTACATTTTATAAATATCACTTTTCTATAATTACAAAAATTAAAAGTTTGAATAATTAAAGTTTGAAGTGTTACCCAACTCCTCATTACCATTCAATGTTTGACAAGATTATAATAAGAATGTAAATGCTTGTAACATGGCTTTAACATTATTTCTAAATGTGTCTCATTTTTTATTTTTTGGTGCCTGTCTTGATCAGTTGCCTGTTTTACTGATTACACTCTCGAATTTTCTCTGCTGTTACACAATGCTCCTATATGACCCTGTCTGTTCACTAAAAGACATTGCAAATAAAAGCTGGATTTGGACCTGTATTGTATTATATTATTATATGTACTCTATTGCATGATAAGCTGAAGTATTGATTGTTGCAGCAGCTCAACTTGCCTGGTGGATTGACTGGAGGGGGGACCGGAGTCGGGTCAGGAGGAATCTGTTCGCAGGAACCAGGCACTATGCTGATATCATCCAGGGCAATATCATTAAGAATTCCTGATGACTTCTGAGCTTCAAAGACCACCTAAAAATAGAAAACAGCAATATATATGGATGAATGAATGAATAAATCAATCAATTAATTAATTAACAAAATAATGATTTATTTATTCATTCATTCAGTTATTCATGTATTTATGTTTTAATGCCATATCAGCAGCAATGGCTATATACAGTGCATCCGGAAAGTATTGATAGAACTTCACTTTTTCCACAATTTTTTTATATTACAGCCTTATTCCAAAATTGATTTATTTCCTCAAACTTCTACACACAATACCCCATAATGACAATGTGAAAAAAGAGTTAAGTTGTTGCTAATTTATTAAAAAAAATATTACTTGAATATTAGAAACATTAGCCCCCGTTTGATTTTTTTTATTTATTTTTTATTTTTTAAATATTTCCCAAATGATGTTTAACAGAACAAGGAAATTTTCACAGTATGTCTGATAATATTTTCTTCTGGAGAAAGTCTTATTTGTTATATTTCGGTTAAAATAAAAGCAGTTGTTAATTTTTATAAATACATTTTAAGGTCAAAATTATTAGCCCCCTAAGCTGATTTTTTTCGATAGTCTACAGAACAAACCATCGTTATACAATAACTTGCCTGATTAAACTAACATGCCTAGTTAGCCTAATTAACTTAGTTAAGCCTTTAAATGTTACTTTAAGCTGTATAGTAGTGTCTTGAAAAAATATCTAGTCAAATATTATTTACTGTCATCATGACAAAGATAAAATAAATAATTAGAAAATTATTAGAAATAAGTTATTAAAACTTACGTTTGAAAATGTGTAAAAAAAATAAAATAAATTCACTCCGTTAACACAGATATTGGGGCAAAACTAAATAGGGCAGCTAATAATTTAGACTTAAACTGTACATGAGTATTCACAACCTTTGCATGAAGCTCTAAATTGAGCTCAAGTACATTCTGTTTCCACTGATCATTTTTGAGATGTTTTAGCAGCTTAATTGGAGTTCAGTTGATTGGACATGATTTAAAAAGGCATACAGCTGTCTATTTAAGGTCCCAGGGTTGACAGTGCATGTCAAAGCACAAACCAAGCATGAAGACAAAGAAACTGTCTGTGGACCTCCGAGACAGGATCGAGGCACAAGGTTGAAGAAGGTTACAGAAAAGTTTCCGCTGCTCCGATGTTCCAATGAGCACAGTGGCACAGTGGCCTACATCTTCCGTAAGTGGAAGATGTTTGAAACCACCAGGACTCTTCCTAGAGCTGGCCGGCCATCTAAGCTGAGTGATCAGGGGAGAAGGGCCTTACTCAAGGAGGTGATCAATAACCCGATGGTCACTCTGTCTGAGCTCCAGCGTTCTTCTGTGGAGAGAGGAGAACCTTACAGAAGGACAACCATCTGTGCAGCAATTCAACAATCAGGTGGAGTGGCCAGACGGAAGACACTCCCTGCCTAGAATTTGCCAAAAGGCATCTAAAGGACTCTCAGACCACAAGAAACAAAATTCTCTGGTCTGATGAGACTAAAATTTAACTCTTTAGAGTAAATGCCAGGCGTTACATTTGGAGAAAACCAGGCACTGCTCATCACCAGGCTAATACCATCACTACAGTGAAGCATGGTGGTGGCAGCATCATGCTGTGGGGATGTTTTTCAGCAGCAGGAACTGAAGACTAGTCAGGATAGAGCCAGAGCCCAGACCAAAAACCTATTGAACGTCTCTAAAAAGATCTGAAAATAGCTGTCCATTATCACTTCCCATCCAACCTGATAGAGCTTGAGAGGTACTGCAAAGAGGAATGGGCAAAACTTCCCAAAGACAGGTGTGCCAAGCTTGTGGCATTATATTCAAAAAGACTTGAGGCTGTAATTGCTGCCAAAGCGGCATCAACAAAGTATTGAGCAAAGGCTGTGAATACTTATGTAGATGGTATTTTACAGGTTTTATATTCATTTTATTAATTTTTAAATTGCAACAATTTCAAAAAATCTTTTTCACATTGTCATTATGGGGTATTGTGTGTAGAAGTTTGAGGAAAATAAATGAATTTAATCCATTTTGGAATAAGGCTTTAACAAAAAAAAAAGAGAAGCGCTATAAATACTATCCGGATGCACTGTATTTATTAATGAATTAATTTATTGTTATTAACTTTCAGGGAATTTGAACATGAACTGACCACAGTATCTGCAGAGATGTTTAGTGTGGCTTGGCCGTAGTTCCAGTTGTCCCCATAGTTCCCTTCTTTCTGGAAGAGGACAGTGATGGTTGACCTTCCCTCACTCGTGACCGTCAGACGTCTAACATGCTCCCCAAACATATGATACCTCAAAGAAAACATGAATATTTGGCAACCCTTTAATTTAAGGTGACACAGTTACACGTTCCATGCACTTACTATAGTGATTACAATGACTTATGCATAAAAAAGTAACCTAACCCACATTCTAAATCATGTAATAAGAACATGCACTTGATTAATATTGCTCAACAGTTAAATGAATAATTACTGTGTCACCTTAAATTAAAGTGTAAACAAATACCCATAAATTTTTGGTGTATGCTAAATGTAATTTTTTGGACACTTAATTACATAGTAATTAAATTAATATGTATTACTGTATATACCGGCCACTTTATTAGGTACACCTTACTAGCACCAGGTTGGAGCTCCCTTTGCCTTCGGAATTGCCTTAATTCTTTGTGGTATAGATTTAACAAGGTACTGGAAACATTCCCCAGAGATTTTGGACCGAATTGACATGATAGCATCACGCAGTTGCGGCAGATTTGTCGGTTGCACATCCATGATGCGAATCTCCCATTCCACCACATCCCAAAGGTGATCTATTAGATTGAGCTCTGGTGAATGTGGAGGCCATTTGAATACAGAGAACTTCTTATCATGTTCAAGAAACCAGTCTGGGATGAGTCATGCTTTATGACATGGCATGTTATCCTGCTGGAAGTAGCCATCAGAAGACCACACTGTGGTCATAAAGGGATGGACAAGATCAGCAACAGTACTCAGGTAGGCAGTGGTGTTGACACAATGCTCAATTGGTACTAATGGGTCCAAAGTGTACCAAGAAGACATCCCCCACACCATTACACCACCACCAGCCTAAACCGTTGATACAAGGCAGGTTGGATCCATGCTTTCATGTTGTGAATTCCAAATTCTGACCCTAAGATCCAAATGTCAAAACAAAAATCTCATCAGACCAGGCTACGTTTTTTCCAATCCGCTATTGTCTAATTTTGGTTAGCCTGAGCAAATTGTAGCCTCAGTTTCCTGTTTTAAGTTGACAGGAGTGGCACCCAGTGAGGTTTTCTGCTGCTGTAGCCCATTTGCCTCAAGGATGGATGTGTTGTGTGTTCAGAGATGCTCTTCTGTATACCTTGGTTGTAACGAGTGGTTATTTGAGTTACTGTGGCTTTTCTATCAGCTCGAACCAGTCTGGTAATTCTCCTCTGACCTCTGGAATTGACAAGGCATTTTATTTTTTTCGGACCATTCTCTGTAAACCCTAGAGATGGTTGTGCGTGAAAATCCCAGTAGATTAGCAGTTTCTGAAATACTTAGACCAGCCCGCCTGACACCAACAACCATGACACATTCAAAGTCACTTAAATCACTTTTCTTCCCCATTCTGATGCTCAGTTTGAACTGCAGCTGATTGTCTTGACCATGTCAGCATGCCCAAATATATTGAGTTGCTGCCATGTGAAATTTGCGTTAACGAGCAGTCGGACAGGTGTACCTAATAAAGTGGCCAGTGAGTGGATTTACATTTTAAAAAGTAAAATATACTCTAATTCATATTGAAACATGTAGTTTATGTGTTTAAATGTATTTGTTACTCATTTGTAATGATTAAGTAGCAGTTTAGGACATATTTTAAAAGGTATATTTTTTGTTCATATTTCATATCAAATTTGCTATTATAAAAGTGCACTTTTTAAAAGTAAAAATGGGTTAAGAAACATTAATGAAAGTATACTCTAAACACACTTTAATTCACTTTTAATTCATTAATATCATCTCAAAGTGCAATTTTTGGTTTTAGTAAAGTACTTTAAAACAATTAAGTGAAGTTGTTCATGAAAACATAAGTGACTAATTTTACCATTGTATAATCTGAATTTGAATTTGCCTTATCAGAAAAATGTGAACAAATAAGATGAATATTTCCAAACATTACGCCTTATTAAAACTAACCAGAACTGCAGACACATCAATTCCTTTGTAGGAGTCAGAGGAAGACTGTAGAGACGGAATTTTCTTTCCCAATTTCCAGAAGTCCGAGGGGTCACAATGTAATACCCTATATTAATCATAGTACTTTTAGTATGCAGTAAAGGTAAAAAATAAAATAAAATTTAAAAAAATAAAAGATCCATCAAAAATCTAAGAATAAAGCATTAGAGTATATTTTCAAAGTATTTGCTAACTGTATAGATACCGTATATAATGGTACCTGATTGGTTGCCTGTTGTGTGATCAAAGCTTGGGCCAGTGTCTGATGGAGGAGTCTCGCCTTGTGCCCGTACCCACTCGCCATCGTCATTAAGTTCTTTCCTCCAGAGACAGAAGTCCTCTTCAAAGGAACAGTTTATCTTCTCTTCATCTAGCAAAGACCATTCAGAAAGAATGTTTTCCATCATCATTTTTGAATTGATTATTGGTTAAATGCCTGCAATATTGCTCTGTGGTTCACACTTTTTATTCTATAACATTTTTAAGGCTTTTACTTTAACTCAGTGTCCTAACAAGAAACAAAATTCTAACGACATGCAGAATAGTGCATTGCACTCCAAAACAAACAGACAGATTTACAGTCTTATTAATAAATACTAAGCCTCATTAACAATACTAAAAGTCAACGCTGAGTCACTGATGTTGTTGCTTTGCAGTCGTAGTTCTAACGTCTACCTCTTCATATTTAAATAGTATGTTTGCTAGTTATATCATTTTTAGGATCTGAGGTAAACATGGTTAAAAAAAAGTGTGCTGCCACTTAAAAGGTGCTGGCTTCTTCATGAACTGAAAATAAGACAAGAATGGATGGATGTAGTGAATTATATTTATGTTATGGAAAAGATCACCTTTTTTCTTGGTCTTCAGAAAATTGTATTATAAAAGTTTGATCCAAGTGGATTGAATATGTATGACCTGGGATGTATTCGAGAAAGCTGAGCCATCAAGATCAAACATTAAACATTACTTATTACTTTACGTTTGACCTCAATAAAACAGTTTGAAATGGTCGTTGTTATTAATAATTCTATTTTTTAATTATTATTTTTTATGTCTGCACTGTATTTAAAAAAGAAAAAGAAATGGCGGAGGAAATTGTAATAACATCATTTTTGAAATATTGTACGGTTTTTCTGAGGTGAACTTTCAACTGGCTCTTTTTAGTATGGCAATTATGTCACAGAAAATGGTATTTGAACTCATATTGGTAACATTTAACACTAAATAAAGTACATAATCAGCATCTGAGGTGATCATTGTCATAGTAGTTTATGCTGTTCAACCACTACACCACAGAAATAAAAATTAAAACGAGTTAAAAAAAATACTTTGTGCATCACCATCACGCATGGTCAGGATAAAAACTCCTTTTAACATGGAAAAAAACGCTTTATAGCATTTCGCAGCATAACTTCATATGTAGTTTTTCCAAACTTAACACGTCAATCTTTTTTTCTGTTATGTAGGCTCTTTTTTTAATTAATACCCACTAGAAAAATCACTGATGTTGACTGCCATGTAAGTAGCGTTGAAGCCTTGGCGGTTCCCGGTTTGAGAGTTAAATTCAGCAGTTGCTTCATGAGATAAAAGCCAGAGGTCTCCGGGAGATGTGCCTGAGAGAAAGTCTGTAGAAAAAAATCTTATGTCAAGAAACTGCAGTCAAAAAATGTAAATACTGTGATACTGTTTACCGTCAAAACTCACATGCTAATGTTTTTGTGGAGCCGATGCCTTCATATAGCGTCAGAAAATCAAGATCTTGTTCCGTATCGAAAGTATGAAAGATCAGTTTTATAGCCAATCCCTCAGTGACCCTGTGGGTAAATGGAAAGAAAGAAAGAAAGAAAGAAAGAAAGAAAGAAAGAAAGAAAGAAAGAAAGAAAGAAAGAAAGAAAGAAAAAGAAAGTTAGGCAAACATCAAAATATGTATATGTCAAACCATAAGTATATCATGTCTGATTATGATATTACCGAATAATCCAACGGCAGGCTGCGAGTCCATCATCTGAAAAGTTTTTTGAGTGGAAGGATCCGGATGAACCAAGCAAGAGAAACTGTCCATCACACACTGTTGCTATAGGTCATAAAGGAAACATCATATATAAATATCCTTCAAATGAATATTAAAAAAACAATGCTAATATTGTAAACCAAACTGTATTTATTGAAACTGGGATAAATACCACAGACACTCGGCTTCTCATCTGAGCCATCAGGACAGTTTTGTATTCCATTACAGAAGTCAGTTTGAGGAATGCACGTTTTCCCATCGGCACATAGTTTCTGTTCATCTGGACAGTTCACTGGATTGATTGAAAGAAGATGCACAACTATTAACACTTTTTAAAGGATCAATCCACTTAAAAAAAGGCTAATTTTACTAGTCCCCTAGAGTTAAACAGTTGAGTTTTACCATTTTTAATATTCAGCGCATATTTGTGTCTGGCTGGAGAATCTTTAGCTTAGCTTAGCATATATCATTGAATCAGATTAGACAATTAGCTTCTTGCTCAAAATGACCAAATGAGCTACAATGTTTTTTTTCTATTTAAAGCTAGACTCTTCTGTAGTTACACTCTGTACTAAGACTGAAAAAAAATGTAAAGTTGCTAATTTCTAGGATGATAGTTTTACGGATTTATATATATTTTTTTGGGAAGTCGTGAGCATCTAGATAATTCTAGGAAAATACGACAGTACGTTGGGAAGCGTGCAATCCCGATAGGGAGGACGCTGCGGAGGCCATCCGTTACCCAAGGGGGGATAGATGGCAGAATTTACATATGGACTAGCCCTAAAAAGGGGGAGTACGCATAGCAAAAGAGTGGTTAGCGGGGAGGGAAGACACAGGTCCGCCCAGGGGGGGACTTAACCGTGGCTGAATAAGCATATGGGATCGCCTAGTGGGGACCACGCATAGCAGGCACCTTTACCCAAAACGCGGGCTGACCAGCGGGCAGACCTACAACGTAGTGGGCCAGCAAGTGACTCCTCCGCTGAGTCAGTGCTGGGGGCCACGGAGGAATCTGCAGGGCTCACCTGACGGGGAACTTTACTGACAGATAAAAAGGCGCACGTATCTCCGTGTTAGGGAAAATGGCGCAGCAAGCGTGTTTCAACACCCTACCGAATTGTTTCCTCAATCACCAAGGGTTACCTAATACCCTTGAGGAAACCGGCTCCACTCGCAGATTGTAAAACCTTGCAAATGTGTTGGGTGTCACCCAGCCCGCAGCTCTACAGATGTCTGTTAGAGGGGCGCCGCGTGCGTGCGCTCGAGAGGATGCGAAGCTCCGAGTGGAGTGCGCACGCGCTCTCGGGGGACGCGGCTCATCTCGGCTCTGATAGTGAAAGAAGGCATCCACAATCTAGTGGGAACTTATTTCGGTACGGCACTTCCCTGCTGCCGACCGCTATAACAGACGAAGAGCTGCTCAGATGAACTAAACTCTGAGTGCGGTCCGGATAATACGCAAAACGCGAACTGGACAATAATAAGGGCTGGGTCTGCCTCCTCCGAGGGCAGCGCTTGCAGGCTCACTACCTCGTATTAAAACGGAGTGGTAGGAACCTTGGGCACATATCGCGGGCGGGGTCTCATACGTGAGAGAAGCCAGCCCAATTACAGGCACGAGTCACTGACCGAAAAATGCCTCCGGGTCCCCGACCCTCTGATCGATATCAACGCGACCAGCAGAGCTGTCTTCAGGGACAGAAATATACTGAGTCGAGGATCGAAGGGATCTGACGCGGCTTGTGTAGCGAGGGCGAGATCCTAAGAGGGCATGAGAGGGGGCGGGGTGGATTAATTCGCTTAACGCCCCTGAGGAACCGGATGATGAGGTTATGCGTTCCCACGGTGCTGCCAGCCACCGCGTTATGAGAGCGGAGATGGCAGCCACGTAACCTTGAGTGTGGAGGGCGACAGCCTGCTCTCCAGCTTCTCTCGGCGTAAAGAAAGCACAACGCTGATCTGGCAAATTACGGGGGTCTTCTCAGCGAGAGACACACCATTCAGTGAATAGACTTCACGTCAGGGCATAGGCGCGCTCGGGGAGGGAAAGAACAACTGGCAATGAGCGATCTCGGGGGAAGCAACAGATCGATCTGGGCTTCCCCGAATCGCGCCCATATCAGCTGAACAGACTCGGGGTGGAGTCTCCATGCTCCAGGACGCAAGGCTGCCGTGAGAGCGCATCGGCTGCACGGTTGAGCTTGCCTGAATATGAATGGCGTGCAGCGATTTCAGCCGCGGATGACTCCAGAGGAGCAGACGGCGGGCGAGCTGAGACATGCGGCGAGAGCGCATACCCCCTATACGGCTGATATACGCCACCGCCGCCGTACTGTCCGTCCTGACCAGCACGTGTTGCCGCTCCAGCACCGGAAAAAAACGGTGGAGAGCGAGGAACACTGCCAACAGCTCCAGGCGATATGCCAATGCAACTGGGTACCTTTCCACAGGTCCGCAGCCGCATGCCCGCAACGCACAGCCCCCCAGCCCGTGTTGGAAGCGTCTGCTGAAACGACAACTGTTCTAGAGACACCCAGGCCTGTAGGAACGAGGGGTCGCTCCAAGGGCTGATGGCGCGGCGACACAGCGCAGTAACAGAGACTCGGTGTGCGCGCGCGTCTGGGGACTCGATCGTGAAGCCAGTGCTGAAGTGGTCTCATATAGAATAATCCGAGCGGCATGAAGCGGCTGCGGATGCCATATGCCCCAGGAGCCTCTGAAATAGTTTCAGTGGGACCACTATTTTACTGTCGAGCTCTCTCAGACAGTACAGCATCAGCTGAGCGCGCTCTCCGGAGAGGCGCGCTGCCATGGTGACCGAGTCTAGCTCCAGCCCGAGAGAAGAGATCCTCTGCACGGGGGCGAGTTTGCTCTTTTCTCGGTTGACCTGAAACCCCCACAGGTGGAAGTGCCAGAGCACTTTGTCTCTGTGCATAATCAACTCTGTGCATAATCAAAGAGAGGGCAATTCAGCCAGTCGTAAAGAAATTGAGTATGCAGATGCCCGCGAGCCGAAGGGGCGCTGAGGCACCCTCCGCGGGCTTGGTGAGGACCCGCGGAGACAGAGAGAGCCCGAAGGGGAGGGCTTTGTATTGCCAAGCTCGACCTTCAAACGCAAACCGCAGAAACTGTCGGTGGCGAGGAAGAGTGGAGACATGGAAATACGCGTCCATCAGGTCTAATGCTGCAGACCAACCCAGAGGACGAACGCACCGGAGGATGCGCTTCTGCGTTAGCATTCTGAACGGCAGCTTGTGCAGGCAGCGGTTCAAAACGCGCAGATCTAGGATTGGCCGTAACCCACCGCTCTTTTTGGGCACGATGAAGCGTGGGCTGTAAAACCCGCTCTCCATCTCGGCTGGAGGGAGCGGCTCGATTGCATCCTTCGCCAGGAGGACAGCAATCTCCTCTCGCAAGACAGGGGCGGACAGGGGGCTGACCCTGGTGAATACACACCCGTGACTTGGGGGGCCGTTTCGCGAACTGAATCGCATAGCCGAGTCTGATTGTGCGTATGAGCCACCGCGAAGAGCTGGCCCGCGCTAACCAGGCAGGCAGAGCTCTCGCTAATGGACTCATCGCTACAATCGCTGACGTACCAGCAGTGGGGCAGCGCGGAGTGGGTGTGCTGATCCGGGAAGCTCGCGGGTCCCACGGAAAAGCTGGAGGTGAGATATTTTGCTCTCACTCCAAACCCGAGCTCCGGAGGGGAGGCTCGAGGGGTGGGAGAAAGGAGACCGTCCTCCCAGCGCTCGTGAGCCACTGGCGAAACGCACCGAATCTGCCAGCTAGAAAGCATAGCGTCCCAGACTGGCAGATTTCGGGCTGTCACATCTGGGGAAGTGAAAAGTGCCCTTTCATAATGTTTTCATGGCAGTAAAAAGTGCCGTTGGAAATGGGGCCCCGCCCTCCAGCGGGGAAAGAGCAAGTTCCCTCTTCTCCAGATGGCCTGTCCCAGGGGCGCTTCGCGGTCCGTTGCCGGACTTAGCGGCGTTCTGGGCAGGGGGGCTGCCTGCTTCCGAGGTGCCCGACGCGCTCGCTTCGCCGAAGGCGTGTGCGGGGGCGGAGCAGCTCTCGTAGGCGGGCGCCTTCGGCGAGGAGCAGGTATGAATGGCACGGCGGGCGGAGCGGGCTACGGACCGCCGATAAGACATCACCCACCAACTGCTCTCTCACCGCCTTGAATTCCTGGGTGAATTCACAGACAGTGTCGCCGAACCTGGCTGGGGATATGGGGAAGTCAAGAAAGCGGACTTTGTCGACTTTGCGCATATCAGCCAGGGGTGGCGCTCCTGGACCACTAATGTGGACATCGTCCTCCCCAACGCACACGCAGCGGACTCAGTAGTCCGAAGAGCTAAGTCGGCGGCGGTGCGAAGCTCGTAAGCCTGGGTTGGACCCACCCTCGTGCAGCTCGGCCAGCGCCTGCGCTTGGTAGCGCTGGTAGGTGGCTATCGCATGCAAGGCGGAAGCAGCCTGGCCCGCAGCTATGTAAGCTCTAGCTCCGAGGGAGGTAGATAACTTACAGGCTTTGGATGGGAGACGAGGCGAACCCGCCAAGAAGAGGCGCCGCGCGGATTTACCGCCATCGCGCACTCAACCTGAGGAATCGCCACATACCCCCTGGCTGTTTCACCGTCAAGAGTGGTTAGGGTGGAGGAACACGCAGCACGAGCAGAAAAAAAGTGCTTTACAAGACCGCGTGAGCCTACTGTGCACCTCCGGGAAGAAGGGAACGCCCCTCTAGTCGGTCCGGCCGCGGAGCTGGGGGATAAACCATCTCCAACCCACGGCCGAAGCAGCCCGGGAAAGCACGGCTAACATGTCCGTTTCAGGATCCGTAGTGACAGCGCTCACCAGCCCGAAGGGGGCGAGCGGGTCTGGATCATCATCGGACAATGAAAGCCCACCCTCCGATGCCGCGGTGGACATCTGGTCTCCGGTGTCATCGGGCGTAAGGGCTACCATCTGTTAGACGGATCGCTTCCCCCGCCCGAAGCTTGGATGGAGCGCTTAGAGGAGCGGGAGGTCCGCGGGCCCGTGGGCGACGGATTATCTCTCGCTGAAACCCTCAGATCTGCCCGAGTGCCCGCTGCAGAGCAGGGGACAACTGGGGTGGTTCGCCCTTTTGCAAAGGCTAACCGCGATCTTGCGCAACAGTCATGGCATCGCAATGACGACATGAACTGCCCGCGAGCAGCGCATTAACATGCTGGACCCCCAGACATGTAACGCAGTGCCCGCGCCCATCATCCGAGGACAGGAAACCACCGCATCCAGAAACGCACAGTCGGAGCGCCGTCCTGATAAGGACGTGCTGCACGACTGTGTTGCTCTTTCTGTGAAGTTTGCAACTTTATACGCACCGCTCTGGAGGACCGGACCCAAAGAACGCCAGGCAAGGGAGAAACCCAGCTCGACCGTCTGCCACTGCGTGTACACACTCTGGACCGGGAGAATGCTCTCGTTCGCTCAGAATCGCTGGTCACAGCAGGAGGAACCCTCATCGACTCGATCAGAAAGTCTCTGAAGCGAAAAGGATAGCGTCTGCTGGCGCCAGGTGAGCTTATATACTCAGTTGATTGCTTATGCCGCTCACCTGCGCAGGCTTGCGCTGCCAATTCATTCTTAATTGGCCCGTTCAATACTCTTTCAGACGAGTAGCTTCTGAACCGAACCTCCCCCAATGCGTGGATTTTACAATCAAATCCACTTATAGTGCTGAAGTTCCCCCCGAAGGGGAACTCTAGTTTCACTGTTAACCTAGCTTACTCTTGTGTCTGTGTTAACACAGAATGAAGTGAGTGCATCGATGGCCAATCACAAAATTTCTGTTGAGCTCCTGAGCACAATGGCCATTCAGCTCATGCTGATATGCTCTTTCATTGGCTGCAGCTCGTCACTACATCTGACCACGTGGCGTTGAGTCGGCCGACAGCTCTGGAATATGCTAGATATTGGATTTCCATCTGCGAGTTATTAGCGACACGTCAGCGAGCCTTTTTGATGCGTTGTTCAGTAATAAAGACTGCCAAGTGCCAAGCACCCACAGATTTTTTCCCGATCACAGCCTGATCTGTCGGCAAGCTTGTTAACTTTCAAATCAGGCTCAAATCAGGCTTAAAATCCTGTATTGTGAACTAGGCTTTACCTAACTGGGGACTGTTCATTTGAAGCACTGGGATTTTTTAGAAATCATATCAAATTAAAATAACTTTAACTTTTATATGCAACACTGCCCATGAGTGTCAGTTCCAAGCAGTAAACCAATCAGAACTCGGAGAAATGGCAAGCAGAGTGTTTCTGTTTTACAGGCGTTCAGTGGCTGTGTTTTTCTTTGTCCCTGGCCCTGTCCCTGTCCTTGACCTGTGTCACGCAGTTTCCATGATGTCATGATACTTGTCATGTCATTATGATAACACACATCAATAAAATATAAAGCATGTCCCACCTGGTTTTGTTGTAGATGGTCTCTGGGTGGTTGTTGGTTTATCTGTGGGTATATATTAAAACATTTATATAATATAAAGGATCATCAAATGTTTTTAAAAATGTCATTTTTTTTCCATAAGAGTGATTAAAATCATTAATAAAATATTTTATATAGTAATATATGTCAATATTAAAATAAATGTTTTCTATTTTACTTGAATTTTAAGTTGTACTGCCATTTATTTCTATGTGCAATTTTTTTTTCAGTCTAAAGATTGTTGTCAAGTTAGCATGTCAAGATAAGTCACCTTATTTCTATGATATACATATATTACCCCTGTTGATGTAGATTGTCTTTTTTTTCTGCTGTCAGCTGAAAAATAGCTGAATAAGGGTCCGATCACACCAAACGCCCATTTTTTTGTGTTGAGAGGTGCTATTTTTTAATGATTTACTACTGACCGCGAACGTTCTATCTGCTGCTTATGTGCCCTGCACGCCTCGCATTTTAACCACCTGCTGTACTTCGCGTTTTTACTGTTGCCGCTGTCCACTCGCAGTTGAAAAAATCAACTCTGAGCGGAAAATATGCGTCTTTTTCATTCTCCAATCAAATGAAAGCAGAAATGGGGTTTCCGTTGAGGTGCCTGCAGTGTTTGTGTTGTTTAGACGACTACGGAGACTTTTGAAGATGGAGGAGAGACTAGTAGTTTTTGCTTTAAATTATCCGGTGCTGTCAAATTCAAACCTTGAATTTTAACAATTTTATTAAATACTAAAATTGTATTAATATCAACAGCAACACTTGTGCACAATACGCAGCTGATTCAGTCATTGACTAGCAGCATAAAAAAAAACGCACTGCACTTCTTTTTCTTGTCAACAAAAAAGGCAGTGCTGTGCGCCTTGCGTTTTTGGAATGTAAAGGCACGTTTGGTGTGATCGACCCCTAATACAATCAGATAAACAATCTTTATTGTTAGGTTAAAGGGGTAGTACACCCAAAATTGAAAATTATTTCATCATTTACTCACCTTTGACTTGTTCCAAACCTTCTTCCAAAAATACACTCTCAGAAATAAAGGTACATGAGCTGTCGCTGGGGTGGTACCTTTTAAAATGGTACAAATTTGTACTTAAAAGGTCCATATTAATACCTCAAGGGTACATATTAGTATCTAAAATGTACAAAAGTGTTGCTTTTAAAAATTTAAGGAACTAATATATACTTTTGAGGTACCAATATAAACCCTTTAAGTACAAATGTGTACCTTTTGAAAAGGTACAACCCCAGTGACAGCTCGTGTACCTTTATTTCTGAGAGTGTAAGATATGTTAAAGAATGTTGGAAACTGGGAGACAATGAGATACACAGTAGGAAAAACAAATACTATAGAAATCAATGGTTACAGGTTTCCAACATTTTTAAAAAACTATCCTTTTGCTTTTCAACAAAACAAAACTCAAACTGGTTTGGAAAAAGTCAAGAATTAATAAATGATGACAGAATGTAATTTTTTTTAGTTAACTGTCCCTTTAAAAGGGACCAATCATGCTTTTTTTACAAGATGTAAAATAAGTCTCTGTTCTCCTTGGAATGTGCACGTGAAGTTTTAGCTTAAAATACATCACAAATAATGTTTTACAATGCCCTCGTTTTAAAACACAGCAGAGCTACAAATGCCTATGTATCAGCATAGTGGCAGACTCAAAAACATTCTATGCTAATGAGGGAGAGATCATAACTTTTCCCCTCTGATGACATTTACACAGGGAGAATCTCAATCAAAGTGTTTTATGAAGTGTGATTATAAAAATACAATTAATACATTTTTACCATTAGAAGCTCCTAACGTTCACAGACTGTTCACACAACTGTGATTTTTGCGTAATAGGTCC